AAGCTAAATAGAAGACGGCTGTCTTCGTGGAAAGGACACTACCTAATATTTTTTTGTGGCTGATCGGATGAGGACTTTGACAAGAATCCACTTCTCACTCCCGACCAGCAATAAAACACAGTTGCAGGCACACTGCTCTTTATGTTCTTGGGGGGGAGGGGATTTTTTAGTGCCTAATAGAACCCAGTAGTCTATAGATTTTTCTAGTGCTAGCAGAGTTGATTGTGAAGATGATGGCCACTGTGGGGAGTTCTGACACTTATCAGTTTTATGGTAGTTTTCTTTGTATTCCCTTTCTGGCTCTATGAGGGGTCAAGGCCTCCAGGTGCTCCCTTGCACTAGGAATGTGCCGCTGCAGGTCCCACCAATCACTCCACAAACACTCAGTGAGAAGCCACCCTTGTTGAGGGCTCCTTTATTTATAAACAGGCTTCAAACCTGCTCAGTGAACAGTCTTATAGAAAAGTCCATATGTCACAACTTAAAGGTTCTCACTTTGCCATTTGCTGTCCGCCCAGATGCGTCTCATGCAGCTCACCCGTCTGGGTGGAGGATCACCAGGTTCCTTGGGCATCCCAAGGCCTCATGAGTGTTTTGTTAGAAGCCTGAGGGTTGCACCTATTCCAGAGATTGCAGAAGATTCAGCCCTCACCTTGACTGTAGTGATGTCTTCACTCAGGCTTGGAGAAAGAGATTTGGTGTGAGCACAGCACTGGGTGCGAGGAACTGCTGAGCTCTAATCCCGCCTCGGAGGCAGAATCCCATATATAGTATGTTTTGAGAAGTTTGGTATTGGTGGGTTATTCCAGTTTACAATTGGTATCAATAACATTTTTATCTTGGAGACCTTTCAACAACAACTCTGTTTCCAATAGCCATTTATTTAAAAACTTCAGTCTAAGATGTAAATGGATAAGTGATGTTCTAATCAGAATAAGGGCTAGGCTAGATGAGCAGTGAGTGTTCAGCAAACTGGGGTGTAAATCTACAGCACACTAGTATGTTGCCCACTAACTGTCTGTGTGAACCTTGCTACTGCACACTAAAGTTCCCTCGTGTGCTTCAAAACAGGAGTAAGTCAGTGTGCATTAGGGAACTTCTAATGCACAGTAGCAAGGTCTGCAAGGACCATAAGTGCACGGCATATTAATGCACTGTAGAATTACACCCCAGCTTGCTGTTTGTCTAGACAATCCCTAAGTCATTCCTGTGGTGCACTTCTCTGCTCCTAGGGGAATTCTTTGCCAAAAAAATAATTCTGTGCCTAAAAATTCTGAGCACAATATTTTAAAATTCTGTACAATTCTGCATATTTTATTTGTCAAAATAACACAATAGGATCATGCCAGTTTCAAAATGTCTGTAACAAAACAGACAACAAAAGAAATTCAGGAAATGTTTTTTAACAAATAGATTCCTTACTAGGCATATTAATACAGAACTCTGAGTAATAATTCTTTTAAACTACAATACAGAAATGTATTTCCAGCACCCCTCAGAAGCAGTGCAAAGTCTGGGGGGAGTAGGGGTAATGGAGGAGCTGAGGGAGAGGGAAATAATTGCTGGGAACCCAGGAGTGAACCTGGAGGGTTGTTGGGAGAAGTATGGAACTTTTTGGTGGGGTGAGGGGTTGGGGGATTGTTAGGGAGTTGGGGAGCCTCTCCCATGCAGACCCATAGCCTCTCCCATTCAGTCAGGCACATCTGCCCCTGTCCTCATGTGTCCCTGCACACTCACTCAGCCACTCGTCATCTCCATGTGGCACTGTACCCCCCCCATTCATCCCCGCCCCAGTCAGTCCCTCCACTAGCCCTTCTGAACCCCAGTCTATGTGACCCACCCAACAGCCACATGTGCCCCACTCTGTCCCCCCCCCACCCATATCCCATGCCTCCTCACCTGGCCCCGCGGACAGAGCTCTGTGAGAAACACAGCCTCTTCTCCTCTCTATCAGCTGCTGATTGATATGGCCAGTGAGCTGGCTGCCCTCTGTTCTGGTGCCACAGCATTCCCTGGTAGGTGAAAGGCGTAACTGCAGTGCCTCTCCAGCAGAATGTATTTTCTGCTGAGAAAAAAAAATCTGCAGGGGACATGAATTCTGCACATGCACAGTGGTGCAGAATTCCCCCAGGAGTAACTTCTCTTATTGAAGGCACACAGCCTTGTGCCTCCCAGCCTCCCATAGGAGAGCATCAATATCTTACTTAGGCCATGTCTGCAATTCAAAATTATGTCAACCTTACTTCGGCACAGAGTCACTGCAATTATTAAATCACTTGTGTGTGTGCACACTTGGCTCTTTGTGTCAGCATTGTGCCTCCTTACCAGGAGTGCTTGTATCAATTGTATTGTCAGTGTGGGACATTGTGGGACAGCTCCTGAAAGTCAATAACAGTCGACATAAGCATAACTACATCAATATTGACTCTATGCCACTTGGGGAGGCAGTGTTACTAAATCGGCATTGAGAGGCACTTAAGGTGGTGGGAGCCAAATTTAAGTGAGGACATTTCCACAGCTAGGCTGATGCAAGACAGCTTACATCCACCTAACCTTGTAGTGTAGACCAGGCCGAAAGAACACCCAAGTTACTTATTGCTATGTTATTACACACGTACCACAAGTGGGGTATCACTGGATTTCAAAAGAGGCTCTACTGCTTTTTTGCTGAATCTCTCAATTCTGTTTTATGTTTAAATTAAAGGACTTTTTCAACACTAGCAAAGTTCATGTGAGCCCCCCTGTAAAATATGGAACTGGAACAGAAACCTTAGATGTCAGGAATTTGCTCAAATGTATTTCTACTATTCTACAAAACATGTTACTTTCGGGAAAAATATCAGTTCAGTCCTTTTAATAGTCCCATTCTGCCCAATCAAAATCAAATGAGGGTACTGTGTGTGTGTGATAGATATATATATATATATATATATATCCACCATAAATAATGCAAAAAAAGACTTAAGTTGTTTTTTTCCTTTGCATCTTCACTAGTTTTTGTTCCAATATGTTTGATTAATTTGCTGTGGATATTTTAAGCTGGATCAGCATTGGGTTTGCTTTGTACAGTGGTGGGAAAACTTAGACAACCGAATGTGCCAGGTAATGAACAAGAGTTGTAAACTGTTACAAGGGGCTAGTATAGTTAACAGAAGCTTATATTATAAACTTGCTGATTTTTCTTAAATCATGCCTTCACCACAGAAATGGAGGAGGGATAAAATAAATCACTGTAACTCTATTAACCTCCCAGGATTTTCCCCCTCAAACAATGTGTAAACCTCATACAATTAGTCATAATTTAGCTGCTTTGAAATTGTTTATTAAAAGTATCCCCATTTGTTTCCATAGATAATCAGTGCATATGCTATGAATAGAGATGTCATAGGATATTCCCCAACTATCAAAATCTCTGGACCTTACCGAAAGAGCTAATGTTTTGTTATAGTTGTAGCCAGTGATAAATGTTTGCCGCAGCTCTTGGAAGACAATGTGTTTTAAAATGTTATACTGAATTTTGGATCTACTGTAGGAGTGCATATTATAAAATTGTTCTTTATCCCTTCAAAAGCAGCACTTCCAGGAGTAACTCCCTTTCATGTCAGGTGAGCAGGTGTTTACTATAGCACTGTGAATAAAAGGTAATTGGATATTTGTCTGTCTTCATGTATTAAGCACATTCACAAGGCCAAAGTGTGTTGCTGCATGTACCCTGAATGTGCTAAATCATTGAAGTGAGATGAAAAGTTCATTGGCAAATTTCCTTGATCTAGTACAATTAAGTTAATACAAATCAAGGTTGCTCACCTAATTGAGTAGTGGCTTCTATTGGTCTGCTGATGTAACAGGGCTGATTCCCCTCTCTCATTCCCCTGCTGTCTGAGTTTGGGGTGCTAGCGTACTCAGCCCAAGTGGGATTGTCAGAAGGAGAAGTACTTTAAATCAGTCAACAAACCCCTTAAAACTCATTAGCTTCTTTTTCTTCATAACTATTGGAAGAAAACATTTCAGTGCGTGATTCTAGACATGATCCTTGTTTCCACACAGCCTAAAAGTTATATCCTGTAGCAAAGCTTTTGAATGATAGCATCAATATTCTTTATATGTGCAATAGCTCACCTAAGAACTTGTGCACAATTGTGCATGTAATTACCAGGATTACATGGGCATACATCTGAATGATTCATGCACTCACGGTAGCTGTATGTGAATAGGCAAAATGAATTTGAACTTCATACACATTTTGGAAAAATCAGTCCCAAAAGATTAAGTAAACTCACAATTAAAGGCAGAGGGACTGAACCTCAGCTGGTGTAAATTAGCATAGGTCCACTGAAGTCAAGGAAGCTACACTGATTTACATTGTTTGAAGATCTGGCCCACAATTCATATTGCAGAGGCAAGGCACTGACCAACACGTGGTGCCTATAGAAAGAAAGCAATCAGCTCAGGAACTCAACAGTGAATGGCCATTCCTCATGATTAAGGGAAGCCTTTTTTAAAGTCCGATGATGCTTAAAATATTGTATTAAATGAAAATGCAAGGAAGGTATGTCCTGTTGCTTTTTTTTTTTTTTTTTTTTTGGTTGGTTGGTTAATGTTCATTATTACAGATATGTTGATCCTATGGTGCAAATATGTTAATACTTGAAGCAGTTATTGGTAGAGCAATAGTTAATCATAAATTATAGGAATGTACTAAGCCTAAGCCAGTAGCAAATTCACCAGTCAAGGAAGGTAGAGTAAAGCACTCTACAGCCACTCAGTTCATGTCCTATTCTTCAGGGTGGGTTTTATTAACAAAAGATTTAAAAAAAAAAACCCTCAAAATAATACAGAGTATTAGAGCTGTCCTGCTTTCTCCTAGCTGGAAAATAAGGGTTCATGCCTTTCCTGTGGCTAATCCCTAGATCTCCTGCTAGATCGTCACGGTGGAACTTTCTTCAGGGTCGTAAATTAATCTTTATCTTCCCCATATTGAGCCAGGAGTATTCCTTTATGTGGTTTCCAGTCACATGATGCTAAATTGATCATTCTCCAACTTGTGCTCCATCTGGAGAGTACAACTCCCTTGGTCTTAAAGGGCCAGGCCTCAGAACAGGACATGGTGATGTGTGCACATGCCCAAACACCAGCAATCAGTTTTCAAAACATCTTGGTTTCCCTATTGCTGGTCTCCAGTGTTGCCAACTCTCACAGTTTGATTGTGAGTCTCGCAATATTTGCTGTTTTTCTTAAAACACCATCTCCCGGAATCATGTGATTAGATGAGAATCTCAGCTTTCATTAAAAAAGTACGTTTCTAGCCCTCATTGTTGCAGAGAAAAGCTTTAAAGCATGACTCAAATGCACCCAAAAGGTTCAGAAAGCAGAGGATAACTAAAATGAGCGCCCAACTTTATCATTTCTAAAAATCGCATAGGTTTTCAGCCAATCTCATGGTTTTTGAGGACTGACTCATTTTGAATGCTTGGCAACATAAAGTCATTAGTAGAAGGGTTGTATACAGATAGTGTGAAACAGTGAGATATTGTTCACTTTTTAATTTTTGTTTCAGGAAGGAATGAAGTGCAGTCCTGGATGACAGCTGTCAACCAATCCTTACATATGGTGTGGCAAAAAATAAAGAGACAACTAATATTAATCATGTCTTTTCTCCTTGCTGCTCTCTGGTATTGTAGAAGGCTCTATGCATACTTAGCACAGCTGTTGAAATGGTATGTTTTTACTACGATGCCTTTCATTTCAATTGTATCTTTGTTCTTTCATTAAATATTTACTTTCTGCAAACTCTTTTTGACAGCTGTTTTATCATTTGGATTTCAGGTGGAGTAGATATCTGCAGAGAAAATTCAAAAGTAAACTTTTTTGTTACCAATCTGCATTATAACTTTCCTCCTTTTTAAATGCAAAAAAGTAGATGTTTAACTAATCTGTGAATTAAATTTGGTTTAGAGAACCTCAGTGTACTGGCAGAAGTTGATCTACTTGGTTATTGTGCAAGAGAATGGAAAGGAGAAACCAAGCAGGCCAAGCAGATGAAGGCGGTAAGAGTTTTTAAAGTTGAATCTATATATAAAAAGTTTGAAAAAAATATTGAGTTTGAAAAAAAGAATAAATTCCATCCAATTTTGATGTAAGCAGATGTTATGAGCTGTGTGAGATCAAATTAATTTCAAAAAGGGGCGGCGGGAAGCTCTCCTTAGGTACACAGTTCTGTATATAGGCAGGAGGTATAATTTCCAGCTAGGGTAGATGTACACACACTAGCTTTGATTGAGTGAGCATGTGTACATCTACCTGAGCTGGACATTACACCTACAGCTGCAGTGTAGATGTACCCTTACAGGCAAGAATTACTCAGAATGTGGACCAGATCCTCAGCACTGATGCATCCTCTTTGCACTGCTCTACCAGCAAAAACGAGTCAACGAGCTAGCCTAACAGGGCAGCTGGAGATTCCCTTGCCATTGAGGAATTCATGGCTGCCATAGAGCTAGAAGAGCTGGCCACCCTGTGGTGTAGGGGTGTGTTGGGAGGCATACTCAGAGCAGAGCTGCACTCTGGTATCCTCAGGCCAGCTGGTGGAAGTTAAAGTAGCCCTGAGCAGATCTAATTTGCACTGGGGACCAACCTAATTCCCCAGTACCTCTGGGGGAACACAAAGGTGGCATATAGCAACTTTTGTTTTCCCCAACTTTGGGTCCTGATCTTGAGCGCAGGTTGGCCAGACTAGACTTGTCTTTAGTCCTTGAAGCAATGGACCTGATTCACTAGCACACACCCCCTTTGTAGGAGGAATAGTAGTTACAGACCTTCCAATTTCTAACTGCAAAGAAACTGAACTAAGTTAATACAAAAGATGAATTGATCGTTTCGATGAAATGAAAACAAAATGCAACCGAGTATATACTCAGGCACCTAAGCTCACCATAACTGTCCTAGCAGCACATGGTGGGGAGAAGTAATTTCTGCAATACTGTAGTGGGACTCAAGCAATGTTGGCAGCAAGTGCCAACATGTTGAATTACCCCCAAAACCAAACTCAGCCTGATGCTACAAAACCAAAAAGAAAGAGGCACCAGTTCTCTTTTGTCCTTTCTTTAAACTGAACCACTGATCAAGGAAGAGAGGCAATGATATTTTACTGTTGGCCCACAATGACTCCTCCTAAACCTGGTTTTATTTTATTGTAAAAAGTGAAAACAGGAGAGTTGTTGTAGCCTACAACAACATGTACACAATCTACCTGCAATAAATTTCAGATAATCATTTTATTACACAGCCAAATCTCTGGATTACACCCCAAGAGTATTGACATAATGCTATTACAATTTGTTTTAGTAATCCATATATTAAAACCTCTTTGAAAATGTACTAGTCTGAAGAACTGGAATCAGTTTAATGACGAGTGATTATTTCTAGTGTTATCTTGTAGGAAGAAAAAAGGCTATTAAACACAAAACACCAAGATAATGTGACCTTTAGTGTAGTTAAAACCAAAACCCACAGCATTGTGACTTCTCACCCTATCCTTAACTCACTCTGCAAAGGTTTGTGTGTGGAGTTTACTTACTGTAACGAATTGTTTCACATGCCTTAACTCTGACTTTTTTCAGGAAATGTGTGGGTTTGAGCTAGGCACTTCCTATAATTTCAACAAGACTGCATTTAATATTTAATGAAGTGATACTGAGGGAAAACTTGTGCTGTTTGACCTTTTGCACAAGTATACCTGGGAATGTGACTATTAATAGCATTGCTTTTGGAAATGTAGCAATGACACTCTCATCCTACTATTTAGAAAAGAGGTGGTGGTGGGGGCAACAACCTAGCAACTAAAATCCTGGCAATACTGGCATGCTGCCAGTTCTTAGGACTGCTGCTGATTCAGTTTGGAGGGGAAGGGAGTCTTTGTTTTAAATACATAACTGTGCTTTCCAGAATGCTGGAACATAAAATAGGCATTTGGGGTTTAAAACGGTTATTCTTTATAGTCCCTTTATTTTTCTGGCAACCAAAGAATTAGACCAGAAATTTCAGTGGTCTCATCCTGGCCTGTAGTTTGCTGGCATAGTCAATTATAGGTTTAAATAATACAGTGAAGATGCCAAACATGTTTTATGGGCACAAATGCTTTTAGAAATTAGAAACCATATTTGGCCATCACAGTGGGTCATGGGGATTTAGCCTAGTAATTGCCCCTGATGTGAAGAGTTGTGATTATATCCCAGTTCCCTGTCTTTTTAAAATAGACTAGACACAATGTGTTGAATTAGTTTGCTCCACTGCAAACTGCTTGTCAGTAGTTATGCTACTGTTGTATGCTCCAATTTTTAATAAAATCTTCAGCAAATGAATAGTGAATGAATAAATAGTATCAGTAATGGCTAAAGAGACACAAGAAAGCACTTTCCAGAGATCACAGAAGGTGAAATAAATATTGGGGTTATTTTGTGCCATTTTGCATTTTGTGCCAGCTATCTTCAGATAGAGAATCAATTTAGTAATCCAGTGGCATAATGTTTGCGATGGAAGGGCTCCATCTGCTGTATATTGCTAGATACACAATTTTAGAAGAGAAAACAATCTGGTATGAACCTAACATCTGGATCCAAATTTTCTTTTTGAAATACTGGCATTGTCATATAAAGTTCTGCACAGAAAAGTCGTGATCTTTTTCTCAGTCACCTTGATAACAAATTCCTAGCACCTCTGAGTGCCTGCAAAGCAGATGTTCCTCAAAGGTTAGGACTGTTAGTATTAGGCTGACAGCACCAGTGAATCCATAAAAATTCCCCACATCAAACCTTTTTGGCCATAGCAGTTTGCTGTCTCCTGTTCACAACATATAACCTGGTAAACATCAGTTTCAAGTTAGAGAGAGAGGATAAAAAATTACTTAAATATGCATTGAATTATACACACAGACGATCATAAAGATCATTTTGGAAATTGGAGAAGTACGATGTCCAGACCATGTATAAACATATTGAAACTGGTAGAAACTGTATACATCTACAATGAAATCAAATGTCTTTAGGACTTCTGCTTTCCCTTGTACTAGTGTTGATCAGCAGTAACTCCATTGAGATCAGTAGTATGACTCCACTAAAAACAGAATTTTTATAGACCCTTAAGGACATATTGAAATTAGCCTCAAAGCGAACTTGTCTCACTGGTTCATTCTAGGATTTAAGATACACATTGTTCTCTGCTGTTTTGGCCTTTTTTTAGGCTTATGAAGAACTATTTTGGAAACACCATATTAAATATATACGACAAGTCAGACGAGATAACTACTGTGCACTAAGAGCTGTGCTGTTTCAGGTGTTCAGCCAGGGCATTTATTTTCCATCATGGATGAAGGAGAGAGACATTTTAAAGGTATGTTTCAGTTGCTGAAGCAAATAAAATGTACATGTCCTTATATTATAGAAGGAGGATTTGATCCAGCAACAACTTCTCTAAAATTGCTGTACTCCATTGCAAGTATGAGTAAAGCATACAGGAGGGAGCAAGACAGATTAAGCACTATGCAAAAGTGGAAGCAAGTATCAAGTCCATTGTGTTCCCTTATTCTTAAGAGTACAAGAATAAATGAAGGGAGATGGGTGGGTATAGTATCATGTCTGAGGGGGCATGGGTATAAGGGCTATTTCTCTCATGCTAATAAGGCATAATAATAATCTATGTGGTCCCATTTTAAGCCTTATGCCTGCCACTGGACAGGAATTATTACTTACTATTTGCATTGAGGGTGCTTAGAGACCCCAGTCTGGGATGAGGGTCCCATTGTGCTCTTTATTGGCTGGTTATCTATTGAAAAGGCCACAAAAGTTCTTATGAAGCTGAGAGTCGACAGAGCTTTACCATTAGCTAAAGTGGTAGATGACTGGGGGTTTCTTTTTGAGTGCTTTTCTTTTTTTGTAGTGCACTTCAGGTTGTATATGTGCTCCGTGAGCCTGGGACCAGAGAATTCTTCCTAGCAGTGTCTGTTCAGTTCATTCATGTGCTCTGCACCGAGGAGAAGAAGGGGCTGCCAGACCGCTGCCCTCTCACTTACTTCTCACTGCTTGGAGTCTGGGATGGAGCCTCAGGTCACTGCATCCTTTCGGCCTTTACCTGTAAATAGTTTAGCTTAGTACATTTTGTGCCCTTGTTGGGCACCCCTTGTGTAGGGCAGTGATCCTCCCTTCTTCCCTCCCCTCCCTTGTCCCCTTGCTTCACTCTGGTGCAGGGAGAATATGCCAAAGGCTTCAAGAGCTTTGTGGACTGCCAGGGGGACTTCCCAGTAAATGACAGTCATGACTCTTTTTGGACCACCTGGGGGAAGGCCTTATCCCTACCAAGTGCAGAACTTGTAGGTCATTTCCACAGAGGATGAGGCAGTCAAGGGAGATCTGCCTCATGATGTTTCTCAGGGATAGGTCCATGAGGGCAGCTCCAGACTCTGACCCCCTGTATGTCGGCCTGAGGAAGGTAGGAGTGTAGCTTTGGCTGGTTCCAGGCCTCTCCTGCCACTCCCCAATCCCCCATCGGCTCCGATAGACTTGGGTGAGAAGACCTGGGATTGCTGTTGCTGTCCAGAGACCACCCAGTTATACCAACATGCCAATCGATACCAGCCTGTACCCCATCACTGAGCTGGGGTCAAGCCAGACTTTTGCCAGTACTGTCGACTAATAGAGACGGCATCGTCACCTCCTGGTACTGAGAGATCCCTCATTGGACTCAGACTCAGAATCCTTTGACTCTGGAGGTACCAGGAACAGGAGGCCTGTCCCCAAACTACTCCCCAAGGTGACTTTTGTGAGGGTTAAGACCAGATAGGGCATCGGGAATCTCTGAGTGTCACAGTACTCCCGTCCCAGGGAACATTCACCCTATATGTATTGGTACACATCATCTTGGGGACTGCTACGATGGGGTATGAGGCTCCACAGTGGCAGTAGTGGGGCCCGGAAGATCCAGAGACCCATCGCATTTTGTACCCACACTGAGGGACTTGGGAGCCCAGGGAGATAAATCTCTCCTGTGGGAGGAAGAATCTCCACAGGCTCCCTGGAACAGAGACACCCTCAGAAGGTGAGGACCAGTCTGGGCAGGAGGCGAGTGCACCGGTGAGCTTATCCATATTATTTCCAGAGGAAGCAGTGATACCAGCTTCTCCACAGTGCCTGGTTGACCCTAAGGTCTTCCAGGGCTTGCTTAAGAGGCGGGTGGAGGCCCTGCACATCTCCCTGGAAGAGGTCCCAGGGGCTCTGCATAGGCTGCTGGACATTCTGCACAGCTTGGGCCCAAGCAGGGTGGAGCTGCCAATTAACAAAGCCATCCTCGAGCCAATTAAGACACTCTGGCAGATGCCAGCCACCATTCCTGTGGTGTCCAGGTGGGCAGAGGAGGGAGATTTCATGCCCACAAAGGGGTCAAAATACCTTTCTTTCCCCACCTGGCCCCTAGCTTGCTGGTGGTGACAGTAGCAATGTAGTGCAGTAGGCAACAGCTGCCAGCTCTATGCCTCACAAAAAGGCAGCTAAGAGAATTTGGGGGTGGGGGTGGGAAGAGTACTCTTCGCCTTCCCTACAGTTTTGGATTCTGAACTGCCAGGTGCTGATGGCCAAGTATGACTTCAACATCTACAATAGGTTCATCAAATTCATCAAGAAGATACCTCAGGACAATAGGGAGCAGTTTCAGGCCCTAATCAGTGAGGGAAAGCTGGTGTCCAGATCCACCCTCGTGACAGCCCTAAATGTGGCATCCACTGTGCCTTGGTCCATGTCTATGGCAGTGGCAGTGAGACATTAGTTGTGGCTCTCTTCATCAGGGATCCAAAAGGACATGCAATTAATGATGATGGACCTTCCATTCGAATGGAACAAACTGTTTAGCATGAGGATGGATGAGTCCCACCATTCACTAAAGGACTCCTGAGCCATGCTCAGTTTGGTTGGCATTTACACACCTGTTATGAGGCGCAAGTCCACCAAGTCACAGTTCAGGCAGAGGCCCACCCAAGCCAGTGTTGTAGCACCCAGTGGCAGTAAGAACTTCCCCGCAAGTGCCAGATGAAGCAGAGGAGGAGTGCCCAGGAGCAGTCATCCTTCATGTCCATCAGACTCCCAAATCAGCATTTTGTTGGGACTCTTGAGAGCCAGGCACCAACCAGACCAATGGATTTAGGCTCCTTCCCTGTTTCTTCCTCAACTTTTGAAGTGTGGCTGCCCCAGTACCTACCAATCTGGAGAGAGACACGACAGACAGGTGGGTACTAGAGGTCATCTTGGGATATACCATCCAGTTTTTGTCCCTCCCCAATCCCAAACCCCCTTCTCCGTCCTCTTTCATGGACAACTTTCACAAGCGGGTTCTTCAGCAGGAGGTGGAGGCCCTCCTGCAATGAGGGGCAATAGAACCAATGCCCCTGACAGCAAAGGGAAAGTTTCTATTTATTTCCTCGTCCCCAAGAAGATGGGACGTAGGGGAATGGAGACCTACCTTCGGCCTCAGGGAGCTGCACAAGTTTATCTGCAGCCTGAAGTTCAGGATGGTCACCCTGGTTTCAATTATTCCCTCACTAGATCTTGGAGATTGGTTCATGGCTTTCAATCTCTATTTCCACATAAACATCCACCCACCACACAGGAGATTCGTGAAGTTTATCGCTGTGCATCAGCCCTACCAGTACTGGGTACTTCCTTTCGAACTTTCAGTGGCGCTGAGGGTGTTCACCATGGTGCTGGTGGTGGTAGCAGTGCTCTCCCTGGTAGGGCCAGTAGTGTACCCCCACTTGGATGATTGGCCCCTCAAGAGGCAACCTTGCCAGGAGGCGCAGGTGTCTGGTCACACTCCTGGGCCTGTTCAAAAGACTGGGTCTCAGGGTGAACTTGGACAAGTTCACTGTGGAACTGACACAGGCTATAGGGGTACGGCCGGATCCAGTGTCATATTTGCCAGACAATCGCTTTGTGCCTGCAGGCGTGGCTATGGATGGTGTCCACACAGTCTCAACTTGTTAGTCTCCGTTCCCTGAAGGGTTGTAGACTGCTTTGGCCGGTGTGAAGACAGGAGAAAGGTGTGTGCCTGGATGTCCTGTTCTGTTACCTGCTATTGACTAGGACTATGACCACAGACACCTCTCTGTCAGGCAGAGGAGGTCACATGGAGGGGCAGATGGACCAATGGATGTGGTCCCCTCAGGGGTGAATTTTCCACATCAGTGTGCTGGAGGGTGAAAGGTGGTTTGGCTGACCTGCAAGCATTTCCTCCCTTGCATTTGGGGCCAGTTGGTCCAGGTGCTGTCACACAACATAACAGTGCTCTGTTACATCAGCAAGCAGGGAGGTGCGCGGTCCTCGCATCTCTGCGTGGAGACCATCCATGTCTGGAATGGGTGCATACCTCTGAACATTGCCCTGAGCAGTCCATCTGCCAGGGTTTCAGAACACCCTGGCCGACTCCTTTAGCAGACGCTTGTGCAGCGAGAATGAGTGGGAGTTTCAGGGCTTGACTCTGTAGGTGGTGTTTCCAGAATGGGTTCACCTAATAACAGACTTGTTTGTGTCAGATCTGAACAAGAAGCGCAGGGAGTTCTGCTCCACAGAGGGGTTGCAGCTCAGGCTCTCTGGGTGACATTTTCCTCATATGATGCTTGGAGGCTCTGAAGTATGTGTTTCCCCCGATCCCTCTGTGACCACGGGTACTTAAGAAAGATCAGGCAGGACAAGGTGCAAGTCATTCTCATGGCATTGGGGTGGCCTTGTCAGTTCTTGTACCCCATACTCTGTTGCACTTTTTTGCTCGGGGTCCTCTCCACTCCCCGTGGTGTGAGACCTCTTGACACAGGATGATGGGAGGACTCGCCAACCCATCCATGCTGCCCCTGAGGGTGTGGTATCTGGATGGATGTTGAGCCTAAAGAGAGTTTGTTTGGCTGACGTGCACACCTTACAGAGTAACTGTAGGAAAACTCTACCGGGAGGTGCTACACTATAAAATGGAAGAGGTTTCTGATGTAATATGATCAACCAGGAATTTCCCCCTTGCATTCAGGGGTGCCAGACATGTTGGACTACCTGTTAGCTTCTAAATCCTCGGGCTGTCCCTCAGCTCTCTGAGATTCCACCTGACAGTGGGCAGCTACACTGTTCTCTCACACCCGTTTACATCCCAGTTCCTGCAGGTTTTAGTTAGGGACTTCCCTCCAGTGATGAAGCCTGCGGCAGCCTGGGACTTAAGCTTGGTCTTATTCAGTCTGAGGGGGTTACCGTTTGAGCCACTGGCTTCGTGCTCCCTGCAGCACCTTTCCATGAAGGTGGAGTTTCTGGTCACTATAATGTCAGACAAGAAGGGGCACTAGGGGTACTCATGGCAGATCCCCCATGCAGTATAACACAAGGACAAAGTGTCCATGAGACTACACGTGAGGTTTGACTTTCACATCAACCAAAGCATCCAGTCACCTATGTTCTCCCCCAAGCCACATGCCACAAAGGAAGAGGCGAAGTGGCACTCCTGGGATGCACATAGAGCTCTTGCTTTTTACCTGTAGAGGACACAGCAGTTCTAGAAGTTACCTAGACTCTTCGTCTCATTTGCAGAGAGGATGATGGGAGAAGCCATTTCCTCCAGAGACTGTCAAAGTGGATCTCAGGCTGCACGGTACTCTGCTACAAGCTGAATGCGATCCCTCTTGGGGGCAGTATAAGAACACATTCGACAAGAGCCCAGGCAGCTTGGATAGCCTCACTCAAGGATCGTTGACATCTACAGAGCAGTGACCTGGGGCTTGGTACACATCTCTGTGAGGCACCATGCTCTGGTGCAAGCATCTGACTTGGATGCCTCCCAGGCTAGGCCAGTCCTGCATTCTGTAGTGGTGCAAGGCTGCGGGCATCCACCTCCTTGGGAGGGACTCTGGTTGTAAATCATCTGAGGTGCACCATACAAAATGACAAGTACTCGAAGAAGGAAAGATTACTCACCTTGTAGTAACTGGAGTTCTTTGAAATGCTCATATGTGTCGTATACCACTCACCCTCTATTCCCACTGCCTCGAATCCCATTGTGGAACCTTGCGGTGGAGAAGGACCTGAGATGGGGGTGGTCCAGCAGCCCATTTTATACCCTTGGTGAGGTGCATAAGGAGGGAGTGGGCACATACATGGACCAAGCAGACACCGCTAGAAAGAATTCTCTGGTTCTAGGCAGATGGAGCTCATGAGCACCTGAAGTGCACTACACATCAATACATCTCATAGAATCTCCAGTTATCGTAAGGTAAGTAACCTTTCCTTTTTTCTAACTGTTGGCTCGGTTTTAGTCTTATTCAGGATGTGGTTTATCATTTAAAACATATCTTCTCTATACCTAAATTAATTACAATAGTATATTCTGCTTGTTGTTACAATAGTGATCTCTCCCCTATTATATTTTTATAGCTCCCTGAAAAGCTTCTGTATTCACAAGGCTGCAACTGGATTCAGCAATATAGTTTTGGACCAGAAAGATACACAGGCGCCAACGTATTTGGAAAATTACGTAAATGTATTGAAACATTAAAGACACAGGTGAATATTTAGGAAATGGAAAAAAACGTTAGAAGGGAGGAATGAGACTGAAAAGGGAAATCATTTACTGTCACAGAAGTATTTGCTTTCTGCTCAAAACATTGCTCCTGTGCAATCTGTTAGATGTTAGTGGTATGTACTGGATTTAAGTATGGGCATAAGTATGTCCCTGTAGCTGTTGGTCATCACTATTTAGGCCTTTACATGTTAATTTTTAATTCTACTGTATATCTTTTTGTCTTGGTTTACCAGCAAATTATCTTATATCTTTAGAGACCCTGTTGTCACTTGTTACAGGGATGACTACACCTCTGCACCTGTTCAGATCTCTGAGAGCATCCACGTCAGGGCTTGTTGGTCTCTTTGCCTTTCTCTGTCTTGGGGTAGAAGCTTGTGATTTTGGGTTCTTATTACACTACCTCATGTATGCCAAGCACTTATCATAGGATCATAGAAGTGTTGGACTGGAAGGGACCTCAGTAGGTCATCTAGTCCAGTTCCCTGCACTCAAGGCAGGATTACCTAATAACTAGACCATTCCTGACAGGTGTTTGTCTAACCTGTTCTTAAAAGCCTCCAATGACGGAGATTCCACATTCTCCCTGGGCAATTGGTTCCAGTGCTTAACCACCCTGACAGGAATTTTTTCTTAATGTCCAACTTAAACTTCCCTTGCTACCATTTAAGCCCATTGCTTCTTGTCCTGTCCTCAGAGGTTAAGGAGAATAATTTTTTCACCTTCCTTCTAACAACCTTTTATGTACTTGAAAACTGGTATCATGTCTCCCTTCAGTCTTCTCTTCTCCAGACTAAAGAAACCCTATTTTTTCAATCTTTCCTCATAGGCCATGTTTTCTAGACCTTTAATCATTTTTGTTGTTCTCCTCTGGACTTTCTCCAATTTGTCCACATCTTTCCTGAAATGAGGCACCCAGAATTGGACACAATACTCCAGCTGAGGCCTTATCAGCGCCAAGCGGAGCAACACTCCTGCCATTTCCACATTTTCTGTTATTGTCTTTCCCTCCTCATTGAGTAATGGGCTTATCCTGTCCTTGGTTTTCGTCTTGCTTCTAATGTATTTGTAGAATGTTTTTTTGTTACCCTTTATGTCTCTAGCTAGTTTTATCTCATTTTGTCCCTTGGCCTTTCTAATTTTGTCCCTACATACTTGTGGTGTTTGTTTATAGTTGTCCTTTGTAATTTGACCACTTTTTGTAGGACTCTCTTTTGAGTTAGAGATCATTGAAGGTTTTCCTGGTTAAGCCAGGGTGGTCTCTTCCCATACTTCCTATCTTTCCTATGCAGTGGGATAGTTTGCTCTTATGCCCTTAAAAAGGTATCTTTGAAAAACTGCCAGCTCTTTTGAACTGTTTTTCCCCTTAGACTTGCTTTCCATGGAATCTTACCTACCAATTGCCTGAGTTTGCTAAAGTCCGCCTTCTTGAAATCTATTGTCTTTATTGTGCTGTTTTCCCTCCTAATATTCCTTAGAATCATGAACTCTATCATTTCATGATCATTTTCACCCAAGTTGCCTTCCACTTTCAAATTCTCAACTGGTTCCTTTGTATTTGTCTGAATCAAATCTAAAACAGCCTCTTCTCTAGTAGCTTTATCCATCTTCCGAAATAAAAAAATTGTCTCCAGTGCATTCCAAGAATTTGTTGGGTAATTTGTTCTCTGTTGTGTTATTTTCCCAACAGATGTTGGCCTACAGTAGACCTCCATCATGACATCAAGCTTGCTTTTTACCGCTTTTATCCTAACCCAGAGACTTTCCACAAGTCTGTCTCTTATCTCCGTCTCAACCTCAGTCCAAGTGTGTACATCTTTGATATACAAGGCAACACCTCCTCCCTTTTATCCCTGCAGTTCCAACTGGGTCTCAGACACCTGTGTTTCTTCCCTTTGGGAACCTGTGATCAATGATACAGTGACCAACAGCCTTTTAAAAGCAAAGTATACAACTAGAATTAAGCTTTGGAGCGGGGAAGAGTTTAAAACAACAAACACTGTCTTACCCAACTTGCTACAATTCCATAATGGCAATTTAGGCACATCTGTTTTCAGGCATGGCCACTGGTCTCTGTGAATGTTTTTTCAGTCTGGTTTCACTCTACATTCCAAAGAGAGTATCCTTTTAAATGCTGACAGAGTTCTTTATTAATCAGTTTTGGTCTTTTGACCCTCCTGATCAAATCAGTTTCATAGACTCAGTGGGGGATCGAGCCTCAAAACTAATAGTTCTGGTATTGTCCCTTTATTTTTTGTAACTAACAACCTCTGGTGGATTCAAAATGATGACATGAAAGACTTTGAGTTCCATTGCCAATCTCTAAAAGCCATTCAGTTCTTCCATTTATTTTTACTTTAGTTATGATAATGGTTATTGATACCCAGTGATTATTCTTTTTTTAATCCTTGTCAAAAAATATTTTCAATAAAAAAAAAACACAAAAACATTTATTAGTGATGAGTTAAGCAGCTGATTTGAATTTCTTGTGTATGCTTTGTAGTGGACTGAAATAAGTGGTGTTAAAGACCACGACGAAAGAGGAAACATGTGCAATATCCTTTTCTCTGATGAAAGCAAGGAATATAAGCTGTATGAGGCTATAAAATTCATCATGCTTTACCAAGTTGTGGAAGCCTATGAACAGATGAAGAATGAGCAGAAACGTGTACCCGTCCTTTTTAGCCTCCTTTTTGCTCGTGATACGTCATCTGACCCTTTGAGTTTCATGATGAATCATCTGAATTCCATAGGGGACACGGGTGGTCTGGAGCAGGTAATGGTGTGAATAAAAAATGAGTTCTATCAGTCTGTGTTTTCTGAAGGATTAGGGTTTGGGAATACTTTTGAATTCTTATTCATTGATTTGATGTTCCTAGTATACTTTAATACTAGGGCTGGGTGAAAAATGCATTGTTTTTAGCACACCTAAGCTGTTCGCCAAATTCTACCTGAATTTGCAAATAGTTTCAGCCAGACAGAAACTGGAAGACACAGTTTGGAAATATCAAATCATTTTGTTTTGACCTTTTAAAAATGAACTGTCTTGATGTTTTCTGAACAAAATGTCATTTCTAATAAACATTTTCTAAACAGTTTGTTTGACCCAAAAGAATTTTTCTTTTTCTTTTTGGTGAGAAAAAAACAAAAAAAAAACCCTTAGTTTTGTTTTGATGCTGATTTTTTTTTTCAGTTCAGTCACTGATTCAAAAAATCAGCTATTTGCTCAGCTCTATTTAATACATCATCCACGATAGAATTATTTTGTTTGGAAGGAAAAAATCAATTTTTTCGTAGAAGAAAAAGCAGTTAAAAATGGGGGGGAAACTTTTAAGTTTCTCCAAAATAAAATGTCTTGGGGAATTATTTATACAAATTACGAAAAACAGTGATATCACTGTAAAATATGTAAAATAACATGATTTTTAGATGACAATACCCTGCATGTTTGACCTATTTCACCTTTTGCACCTGTTTTTTTGTTTTTGTTTTTTTAATAGAAGCTTTCCAGAAAGGCCACTTTAGAAAGTATATTTGCCCTTCTGAGAAAGATCTCCTTTGGGTACTTATCAGCTGTGGCTGTGGGAAATTCCTGTGGTTGTAATTCCTAGTCCACTCTTCTTCTTACACAAGTAAACAAGTTAAATGACTTACACTAAACATCAGAGCATGATTAAAGTGTAGGATGTTTTTTCCCCCAGTTTCCTTCTTATAAATCTATAAACAAATGTTTACATCTTTTTTTCCCCCTTAGGTTGAAATGTTTCTTCTTGGATATTTACTTGAAGTAAAGATAAGAGTCTACAGACTGCATAAGTTTAACACTGAAGAGTTTCAAGTAAACTATCCAGAGGAGTATCACAGGGACTGGCAGGAAGTCTCTCTTCTGACTGAGGATGACCATCACTATCACATCCCCATTATTAGAATATAAGACTGATTTCTAACCATGCAGTAGAAGAAGTGACCATCTCCAGTAAATTATCACCTTTAAGCCAAGTCCTTTGCCAGCAACAGTAGGATTTCAAGTAACATAAAATAATGACTACAGGACACACAGATTTATTATGTTAACTTCTTGCTTGCTTGTACTGATCCATATCATCTGTGATCTGCCTCAGAAAAACACAAAATACATAATCATACAATCAGAACAAACTGGCATATTAAGGTTCTCAAATAAAAAAAAAATGGTAAATCACCTGCGAGCAAACATTATCACTAGATAGTTGATAGTCACTTGTTGAGCTAAGTCCAAAACACATGTTGTACATAAACTTACAATGTCAAATGATACCTGTTTGTTTAAGAAGGGTGCTTCAGCCACTGACTTGGGAGAGAAACAAAGGCAATAATAAAAATAAATAACTCGCAATAGAGCTTTACTCAATATATACTCTTCCCCCCTGCCCTCCCCGCATCCCTTCTTTTTGGAAGGGTCAGATTTTAATGTTACCTATCAAAAGTACGTAAAGGATTTTCTTTGCAATTGGTTTGAGAAGGCTGTGCACTTCAGTGCATTTACAAATACTGGCTTTTCACAAAAATGTTAACTCTCTGTACATTATATACATTTAGCAGGACTCACATTTGCTAAGCTTTTTTGTATATACGATTTAATACCTTTGAGTTACTTTTCTTAATCTTGACATCAAGGTTACTTCTAGTTTTTGAGGGTCTTAAGAAGTATCCAGTATAACAAGCAAATTATCTTAGGTAGGAACTGCTATTTCACCACACTTTATGTTTATTAAAAAGATGACTACTAGGAAGGAAGGGAAATGCCAGATACATTAAAAAAGCAAGTATTGCTGTCTTGAATAGGGAGCTTTACACATTCCCCTCATTCTAAGAAACTGAACTGCAGTTCCACCATTTTATAAAATTAGGAAGCTTAACTTTAATGAAAATTAAAGTGATAACAGTTTAGCAATATGTTTATTTGTGGCACATGAACATCATCATACATAAGGCTGCGAGTTTGTCATGGAGGTCACGGAAGTCACAGATTCTGTGACTTTGTGGGACCTCCATGACTTCTGCAGCTGCACCGTGGAGGAGGGAATGAGGGCTCTGGGTGGCACTTTCCTTGGGGGCTCCCCAGAAGCGGTGACATCCCTCAGCTCCTAGATGGAGGTGTGGCCAGGCAGCTCTGTGCGCTGCCTCTGCCTGCAGACACCACCCCCGCTCCCATTGGCTGCGGTTCCTGGCCAAAGGGAGCTACAGAGCCGGCACTCGGGACAGGCAGCGCACAGAGCTGCCTGGCCACGCTTCTGCCTAGGAGCTGAGGTGGGGGGGATGTTGCCACTTCCGGGGAGGCGCAGAGCCAGGTAGGGAGCCTGCCAGCCCAGCCAATCCCCCCCACCACCAATGGGGGTCCTGGGTTGCACGCCGCTACCTGCCCACCAGCATCAGTGTGGGTCCCAGGCTGTGCACCGCCTCCTACCCCCCACCCCAGCACCAACGGTGCCCCCCAGGCTGCCCCCTGCAGCACCTCCAGCATTCCCGGGCTGCACCCCCCCAATATTTAGTCTAGGGTATATAGTACAAGTAATGGACAGGTCACAGGCAATAAATTTTTGTTTACTTCCCATGACCTGTCTATGACTTTTACTAAAAATACCATGACTAAAACATAGCCTTAATCATAAGCTTAAAATTATTTGAATCACTTCTCTAATAAGATTATATATAAAGAGAAGAGTTTTTAATAAGAAACAAACAATTTTCCTTTAAAGTTGAAATCATCTCCAAAGACTCATGTAGTGTTTCTCTTTCTCACAGGAGATAATTTACCAGAATGAAATGGTTAATTAGGTCTTCAGGAGCTAAACCAATTATATATGCTTTGAGTACACAGAGACTGAGCTATTCCTTTCTTTAATGAAAAGTGATTTTCCCCCTTATATTTCTTTGCATATATGTATATATATTTATAAAGCAAACATGGATTTGGGGAATACTGTAATTGTTTTGTTTCCTGAAAGTTTTATTGGATGGTTTGTTCAATAATTTGTAGTCTTTAATTAAAACTGTTTGATACATTTTTTTCATCTTCCCAAAACCACATTTCTGATTATATTTTATTTATTAAAAAACCTTTTTTCCTGAGTTCAACATGTTGCTCTTCTGTTTTGGTTCTGTTCTGTGTGGAAGTTTAAAAATTGCTGATAGTAGCATACTGCTCTTATTTACTGAATACCAACAGTGTACTCACTGCTTTACTTATGTAAACAGACATGGCTCAGACCCCAATAAGATTATAATACAGTTTCCATGCAGACATATATGTGTACACAAAGTGCAATTCTGCAGAAGTATTTGCTATACTTTTATGAGTACTTAAAAAGTTTATTATCTATAGTATCTAGACACGGTAATTATCATGACTAGCAATATACAAAGTACTATAACTGAAAAAATGAATTATGAAAAAATTACATTACTTTTGTTCTATTTATTTTGAATACAAGTCTTTCCAAGAATGTTGTTAAAAAAAGTCCTCATACGCTAAAGTGCTTGGGGGCCCTATTGAACAGTTTAGAAAACAAGGTGGGATAAAAATAAAATCAGTTAAAATATAGCTACAATGCTGGCAATTCCTTAGTACTATAGAACCTATGGAATAGCCTTCGATATTTTTATTAAAACAGATTAATGGCTAATATGCAAATACCCAGTTACCCATTGACTTAAAGCAAGCTGGCCGTACCATCAAGAGCTGGCTTGAGCAGGATTGCAGATGCTGGGAAGGATAAGAAGCAGAAAGAAGGTCCTTCAGATAGTTGAATCCAAGTCTGTAAGAAGCCTGTGATGCAAAAGGAGCAGGGGTGTGTGACGTTGTGCAGTCTATATGGTTTTATAAAAATATAAGTGAATATAATGTAACTGGGATAGTTTCGTGCAAAAGGTCTCTTGTAAGGTATCATTACAAAGTGCATAATCTACTGAGTATGATCATCTGATTTGTATAAATGTACCACTCTTGTATCTAAAACTAGAAATATAAAACATAACTCTGAGGGCCTATTGTAATTATGTAGAGTGTAGGCCATTAAGGACGGTTTGGAATCTTGATGACTCCCATTGTCTGCAGATGGCTGTATTTACCTTTGAGTCTTCCTGTATATGTGTGTGCTGGCAAGTGAGTAATGAAGTCTTGCAGTGACATGTGATCGTGTCACCTGAACTGGAATCCATCTTTAACCTGGTGCTTTTCCAGTGAGGGGGGGTGGAAACCCAGAGGGACAAAGGATTCCCGCCTTATGCAAAAGATATATAAAGGGGTGGAAGAGAACAGAGGGGAGAGAGGAGCCATCATGGAGAAGCCCCTAGCTAACACCTAAGCTGGAACAAAAGCTGTACCAGGGGAAAGAATTGTGCCCAGGCCTGGAAGGTGTCCAGTCTGAGAAAAACTTACTGAAGCATCTCTGAGGGTGAGATTATCTGTATTTAGTTTGATTAGGCATAGATTTGCGCATTTTATTTTATTTTGCTTGTGACTTACTTTGTTCTGTCTGTTACTACTTGGAACCACTTAAATCCTACTGTCTGTATTTAATAAAATCACTTTTTATTTAGTAATTTACTCAGAGTATGTATTAATACCTGGGGGAGCAAACAGCTGTGCATATCTCTCTATCAGTGTTATAGAGGGCGAACAATTTATGAGTTTGCCCTGCATAAACTTTATGCAGGGTAAAACGGATTTATCTGGGTTTAGACCCCATTGGGAGTTGGGCATCTGAGTGCTAAAGACAAGCACACTCCTGTGAGCTGCTTTTGGGTAAACTTGCAGTTTTGGGACAAGTGATTCAGACCCTGGGTCTGTGTTGAAGTGGACTGGAGTGTCTAATTCAGCAAGACGGGGTGCTGGAGTCCTGAGCTGGCAGGGAAAACAGAAGCAGGGGTAGTCTTGGCACATCGGGTGGCAGCTCCCAAGGGGGTTTCTGTGATCCAACCCGTCACAGTTTACCCATTGACTTAAAGCAAGCTGGCCGTACCATCAAGAGCTGGCTTGAGCAGGATTGCAGATGCTGGGAAGGATAAGAAGCAGAAAGAAGGTCCTTCAGATAGTTGAATCCAAGTCTGTAAGAAGCCTGTGATGCAAAAGGAGCAGGGGTGTTCTCCATTGCCTTGCCAACCTGTGGACTTGGGGGCTGCCTTTCACTCTTTGGGATACTTGGTGCAGCACCTGGAATACTTCACTAATTCCTCCACCTTTCTTATGAAATTCAGAAATTCCAGCATTTTTGCCAGAGGAGCTGGCAGCTTCCAGGAGCATGATTTATTTGGCTGGTGCAACTAAACTTCACTACGTGTGTTCGTTGTGTCACTTCCTTTAATCCTAGTTTAACAGGGCAGTGGCCCTGGGCTGCACACACATGTCCTAGTCCATATCTTACAGTCTTTCAAAACTTAGAGCTGTAGGTGTAGGTCACATATCTGCTACTAGTCATGTGCCCTATATGGAAAATTGGATATAAGGCTTTCTGCCACTTAGGGTAAGTTTGCACTACAGCCGCTACGCATGTCTAGGTCTGCCCCAGCTCCCTATTGTCCACACTGAAACCCCTGAACCACATGTCTCGAGGCAAGTAGATCTCAAGATCTAGCTATAGAAGAAGATTGAGAGGTGACTTGATTATGGTCTATAGATAGCTTCATGGAGAGAAGATAATGAGTACCAAAGTGCTCTTCATTCTAGCTAAAAGGCACAACAAGAACCAAAGGCTGCCAGCTGAAGCCAGAGAAATTCAAATTAGAAGTAAGGCATACATTTTTAACAGTGAAGGTGATTAATCACTGGAACAAATTACTGAGGGAAGAGGTGAATTCTCTGTTTCCTGATGGCCTCACATCACACCTGGTTGTCTTTCTGGAAGGTGTGTTTTAGTGAAACAAGCTATTGGGCTTAATATGGGGGTAAATGTGTGAAATTCATGGCCTGTGAAATAGCGGCCTGATTAGGAGATCTAATGGCCTCACAATCTATGAATCTATGAAAAATTCAGTGTAGGGTAAGGAATAGATTCTGCTATTTTACTGGGTAGCCTGCTTGCTCCCCAGAATCAATAGCTCAAACATTCCACCGGGCTGGCCAGGGACAGACATCAGCCCTGCAAGGGAGAAGTGGGTGTGGCAGTGACTTCATAAGGGCCTTTGACAGGAACTCAGCCTATTGGGCAAAGGTTGTGAGGAGGCTGTGACCTCACAGAGCTCCCTTGACATCAGCCAGGCAGGACAGGGATGCAGGGTAGGGGGGCACCTCAGAGACCCCTGTAGCTTTGCTGAAGCAAGCCTCCTTCTCGCGGTCTCTCCTTGAGGACTAAGAGAGGATTTGTGGTCACGCACCTGAGTGCTAAGGAGGAGCTTTTTTGGGAGTTTTCTTCTTTCCGTGTTGATTTTGTAGAAAGCAAACATCACCTGTGTAGAAGGTAAGATTCTCAGTGAGGTTGGGAACCTGTTCAGTCTGATCCAGATATTGCCAGCTGAGCTCTAGGCTTGGAAAATACAGGTTAAATTGGCAGAAAAATGTCCCACCTAGGCCTCTTTCCCTTAGTAACTGGCTCAAAATGTAATTGTAAATAAGGAATCATTGCCGAGCGGGTGTCTTTCTAGTAGGGTCCTGCAGGACCCGTTCTTGGAGCTACGCCATAAGCGGCCGGTGACCCGGCCACCCGGGGAGGCTAACCCCCAGCCCCTCCCCTTCTGCCTCCTCCTCCTCCTCAGGAGCCCAAAGCACCCCCACCATGGCCCCCCCCAGCTCCGGATGGCTGGGGGGGCAAGGCCCCAGCATGCCGCAGCACCAGGGCTGGGAACGTTGGGGCTGCGGGCCCTGGGGCTGCAGGTGGGCGAGCAGCGCAGTCACCGTGCCCCCAGCCTCGGAGCTCTGGGTGACCGGGCAGCACGGTCGCCACGCCCCCAGCTCCGGGTAGCCAGGCAGCGTGGTGGCTGCACCCCAGGGGTCGGGTGGCTGGGCAGCATGGTTGCCGCGCCCCCAGCTCCAGGGCTCCAGGCAGCGCAGTCG